GTGCGACGAAAAAGAATCAGTTCAACTCAGTTCCCAAACTGACGAGAGCAAATGAGAAACGCTTCTGAGCAAAGCAGATGAGATTTTTCGCCGTACTTTGAAAAAAACATAATTGAATCGGACTAATAATCAATCAACAAAATCCATGTAAGTAATGTTCAATAAGCTTGATCAATGGAATAGTGATCCACAATGTTCAACCTTAAAACAGTTTACATTGTTTTAACTAGAGAACTATTTAATTTAAGCATTAACTTAAAAAACAAAAACTAATGCCAGCTATGGTTAGACTTTAATTATTGAAATAAGGAGTGATCATATGATGAGGACAAAAGATGTAATTATTTTTTTCCAGTAAAATAATCTCAAACCAAAAATCACAGGAGAACATTTAACTGGAGTACATTTATAAGATTAAATGAATCAGGTCTTCTAAGTCATCCTTCACTTCTGAATTTTGTCTGGAAGCTTTTAATAATAAATTCATAACTTGTGACACGGGCATGGCGACATGCTGAGTAAAACAGATGTAAGCTGACAGACTAAACGCCTCCATAGTGGAATAAATACATGCAAGCCAGTGGAAATCCCTTTAGAGGTCCTGACATCATAAACTCTTTCAGACATCTGAAGATTTTTATCAGGAGGACGAGGCAAAACACAGGAATGGCTCCACATGCTCGAAATCAACCTTCTCCTGCCGCAGTCGATCCCAAAGCCTCAATTATGCAGAAACTCATAGGGCGAGCTAAAGAGAAGATAGCTTAAGCAAGGAGTTTAAATGATCGAGAGAGTGTATAAAGAGTAAAGGTCAAAGATCACTCTCTCTGCATGATCCAACCTTGCAGAGTTATAAATGAGGAGTAAGTACTGATATGATTGGGTCATTGAAAGATCTGACAGACGGGTGAATAAATGAAAGTGTTAACTGATCCTCTGTGAAGGCACAACTTCAGCCACTGGAAAATGTTTTTGAAAGACTTTAGAAAAGTGGGCGGAGCCAAGAAACATAACCAATAAGAAAATTCAGCTTCAGTAGCCACTGTCCAAACCCCAGAAGGGCAGCGCTTATAGTTTCAGGACAAATGTTGCAGAATTATACGAAGAAGCAGCGTGAAGACAGCAGCCCTAGAGATCAACTCATGCAGCTTATCTGCAAAAACAAATTCTTTAATTACCATTAGGAGTTTAATTTTTCCGTTTTCTTTGCTGTGACATTATGATGTTGGAGGCTTTTTAAAGGAGAGGACCTTACCTATACCCTGTCTTACCAAAGTGTACTTACAGAAAACAACTAGACACTAGAAAGTTGTCCGTTTTGCAAGAAGACGCCTGCATCTTCCCTTGTTACTTTACAGACTGATCCTCTGCTCCAGTTCCTCGGTGTGTCGATGCCGATCCAGACTAAAACAAAGGAACAGTTGGCGTAAACATCAGCGCCATGGGAAAGCGCGACCTCCGGGGGTCCCTCATTCACCTCGGAGCGCCGTCTATTCCCATGTACGAATTAAATCCCGCCTTTGTCTCCGGCAGCTTATCTGTTTGTTTATCTCCTCTTTCTCATCCCTCCTTTTCTCCGTCGTGGACTCAGTTTCTCTTTCTGTTGTTCCGCCCACCTTTGATGCATTCCACCACCCGTTTTAATCCCTTCAGCTAACACGACATGATGCGCGGAGCTGAAAGAGTGTACATCTGTGCGCTGTTTATAAATCCAGTTACAACAGTGGCGAGGCCGATGGCTCCCCGTCTGTCCAGAGATATGAATATTTAAAGCGTCACAGATTCTGCCTCCGACGCGGCCCGCCACCAGCAGCGCGTCAGGAGCTGTTTATTCAAATCCAGGCTCAGGGACGGGGGGAAACCCGGCTGCCATCGGCCACGGCGTGCAGGCGCGGCTGACGAGATGCAGCTCAGTCAGATTTGCTTTCAACTTCCAGCAGAACGCCTTTTCTTCTTCTTTTTCTTCTTCTACTTCTTCTTCTTCTTCTTCTTGCAATAGACCAGCATGAGCTGCATGTCTAAAACTCGCTCGATGTTGCATCGAAGTCGTGATTGACGTGTCTCCACCGCGTGGCTTGTGTTAAGCGGACAGAGATGTCTCTGATGGAGCCGAAAAAGCTGCCGAGACGTTTTGTTTGGTGTGTTTCCATTAAGTCAATTTGCTGATGCCATTTTTGTCAATTGCCAGTTGTATGGTCAATGGACGTGCAGCTAAGTACAACAAATAGGCTACAGCTGTTGGGTGAAGTCTTCAGAGGTTTCTCGGAGTTCATCGGTAAACAAACGGCATCATGGTGACCAAGGAAAACAGCAGGAATGTCGGGGAGAAAGCTGAGGAAAGCTTGGTTAGCCTTCTTCAGAGAAGCGCTATCTGAAAATTGGAAAGCTGATGTCACACATGCCAAAAGACAGACAGAGAAACAACCAAGAGGTTCACCGAAACTCCAGACCTGGAGTTTCGGATCCTCGAGGATCAGGTGATTGGGCTCAGTAATTATTTCCGTCCTTCGCCTGTCCAAAACGTGGACAGACAAAAGCCATAAGAAATCCTGGTTTCAATTTCCCAAAAACCATGTTCAGGACATAGCAAGCGTGCAGATGAGGGTGCGCTGCCAAAAGTTCAGTTTTGAAACCGAAACTGAACTTTTTGGTCTGCGTGCTGAAATCAAACGATTTAGATCAATCCATTGTCGATTATTAGAACTTTCCAGTCAGAGTCGAGACCTAAAATGGTCTGAGAATCGTTGGCAAGACGATTCTGACTTTGTTCGATCTGTTTTGTAGAGAAGAGGAGGCAGAAATTTCAGACGAGATCTGTCAAGCTGTAGAAGACAAACAGCAAAACAGTTTCAGATGTAACAAAAGCAAAAGGTGGTTCTGCAGATGTATGCCACACTTTTCAGAATCATTTCCTTCCATTTCCTGATTATGGGCTGCTCTCCGTTTGCACAATTACTTGGCATCCCAGCAAAATGCATTCATGTGTGAGGCTGCGACTTGGAAAGTGCAGAAATTGGTTCTACCGATGCCTTTAATAAAGGTTTTTGTTCTCTTTCTTTTCAGGGAGTTTCCCCAAAAATTCCTGGCTAAATAAGATCGTGCATTTCCATAAACACTGTGTCATGTTTTGCCTGTCCTCAGGAGCTTGAAGGTCAAACATGACATGTTTTGACCGTCTTGGGAACATCATCTGCAGAATGAGAGATTAATTCAGCTCAATCTAATATCTCATATCTTCAAAAGCATAAGTCAGAGTGATGTCTACAAAGTAAAATCTGATTTCTAAGTGGCTCATGTTTCTACTTCCTGTGTCATGTTCCAGGCCTAGAAATACTAAATCTCAGAGCTGCTAAGCTGCACAGCAAGTTGTGTACTATTTGACCTTTTGTAAATTGAAACTCTGGATTTTGATTTGAGGTTCAAATAATGATACTTTGTGTAACTCACCCAACAGCTGACGTTGGATTTGTTGTGGGGATTTCCTTAATCCTGTTAAAAATCATTTGAATAGTTTTCTTTTTCAGAGTTTGTCTAAACCAAATGTCTCTATCTGATTTATTAACCAGAGAATATATTTTTAGTTTACATTTTGTAAAATAAAAAAAAGACAAAATAAACTTGCAGCACAAGAAGAGTTAAAACATTCAAATCTTGGCTAAAGCAGCAGGAGAAACATGATGAACACTAAAATAATCGCCGGACCACCTTGTGGATATAACGCCTGCACAAAGCAAAGCCATCATAAATGTCATCTGGAGTACGTTTCTTTTTTTTTTGATGACATGGTGAAATGAGCTAGACGAGTAAACAATCTGCAGATCAGGTCTAACACACACTGATTGCCTTCTGCCCAGTTTCTGCCATTGGCTCTCATTTTCAAAAGCAGAGTTTGTTGAAACTCGACATGTGAAAAATGGAAGTGGTTCCTCGTTTGCGTCGCAGGCTTTGCTCCTCGACGGTGTTCGTCGAACGACCTCTCTCCCTCTCTCAAACGTCCTACAAAAGCAGCGAAGGACTTTGAATAATTCAATTCCAATAATGAGACGTATAAACAAATCCATGCATGAATATTCAGAGGCCCGGTTCGTATCGCTCCAGCTTCAAAAGCTTTTTGGAGAAATATTGCTACAGCATGCACAATCTGCTCTGCAGCTGCTTGATTTTCCTAAAGTCCAAACGGCCTGTGCTTATTGCTGGCCTGCCTGTGCCAACAGAAGCGCTCGGCGCCTTTGTAATTTGTCAGGAGGACGACTCTGGGTGCTGCTTTCACGTTCTTAGAAAACAAAAAACAAAAGGAGAAAAAAAAACTGGTTTCCTTTTGAGGGTTTAGTGGATGTGAGGCTTTTTGTGACATGAAAGTTCTTTTGTTCTTAGTATTGAAATGTCCACATCAGAACAAGTTTACCTGATCAGGATCTGAGAAAGAAACAACCCAGCTTTATTGACCCAAAGAGTTTAATAAATAAAACAATATGTTACAATATATGAACATAATACAGGAACATAACTTTTTCTCGTATTCTAATTCAGACTTTAAAACAGTTCTTCTCTTTTTAAATGCAGTTTTTATTTATTTATTTTTATAAATAATGATAAAGTTAACTACTAATGTTTTTGTTAATTTTTCCTAAGTCAGTTTTTTAAATCATTTTTATTCATCTTTTAAGATAACAGTCAATTTGACTCTAAATTACCTACCGACTTGATAAGATCAGTTTTTTGACACCATATGTAAAAATGAACCATCTTTTAATTTTTTGTTTTTTCCAAATCTCATTATTTGCATTGAGGTAATATAAGGAAATGCAATTCAAAATAAAAAAGCAAAAGAAACCACTAAAAACATAATAGTAATAAAAGGCAGAGGAGAAAAGAACAAAAATCAGCGAGACTTTAAAGATTTTTCATTTATTTATTTATTAATTGTCTTTACTTTTTTCTTCTTCTTTTCACATTTCAAAACCCCAACGGAACAAGAGAAATTTCCACCCAAATAAGTAAATAAATATTTCCATTTATTATGTTTTTTTTGTTTTGTTTTGCTTTTTTCTTTTTTTTACATTTAAAAAAATAAACAAGTGGTCGTTGGTTAAGTCGGGCAAGTGGAGAGAAAAGCGTTGAACAAAGACGGATAAAATGAATGAAGCAGGTGCAACATGGAAGGAAACAGACGAGACTCTAATATATAACATCTGCAGCTATTTAAAGACAATAATCCATCTACATATTTACACTTAGAAACTTGTTGCCATTAACTTGGGAGAATATCTAATGATGGGCCCTAGAGGTTTTTGGAGCTCTGTGCGTAAACTATCCGTCACGTTTGAGATTAATTACAATAAAACACTAAGTTAGTTTCCAAAAATCTGCAAAATCCCGAGGAGGAAAAACAAATCAATGCATTGGTTCGAGGTCTCAGTAATGCGGAGGATTCAGCAACAGAGATAAATAAAATGCGTGGAGATGAGGGAGCAAAGTCTGTACAACCCCATTTGGAAAAACAACAACAAAAAAGTTCAGCTGAGACCAGAGTCACTTGGAGTCGCTTGCCAGCCTCGGCATGGCCACGGAGCTCATGCTGGACACATGCGGAGGCGGGACTTGGCACATGCTGCACGGACAGGGCATCCCGGTGCCGACGCCCCAGTGCTGGAAGCTGCTGCCCAGGGGCCCCGCGCCAGCCGCGGGCGCCTTCAGGAGTCCGTGGTGGGGTCTGACCGACGTGACGGCGGAAATCCCGGGAGCGGAAAGGGAGGCGGTGGAGACGGCGGGCGGGGGAAGGAGCGGGTGGTGCACCGCCGGGTGCGAGGCGTGGGAAGCCGCCGGGTGTCCCGGCACGGGCCCCGCATGAGTCATAGTCCCACAAGTCGACGGATGGAAGCCGCCGTGGTGCCCGCTGCTGCCGTAGATCTCACTGACCAGCCGCTTCATCTCCTCCAGGGAGTTGCTCAGCATCAGGATGTAGTTTCTCGCCAAGAGCAGGGTGGCGATTTTGGAGAGCTTGCGCACCGACGGTCCGTGCGCGTAGGGCATGACCTCCCGCAGGCCGTCCATGGCCACGTTCAGGTCGTGCATTCGCTTCCGTTCTCGGCTGTTGATCTTCAGGCGGATGGCCTGCAGCTCGTTCTCCGACAGCAGCTTGCGGTCCTTTTTGGACGCCATGCGCAGCGCCAGAGCCTCCTCGTCGGCGGCGGAGAGGCCGCGCAGACCGGGGATCTCCGACGGGGAGTCGCTCTGCGTGGAGGACACGGCGCCCGAGAAGCCGTGCACGGACTTCTTCAGGGTGGACATGAAGATGTCGTCCACCTCCGGGGAGGACGGTCTGCTGGACACGCGGCTTGTGTCTGAGTCCATGGTCCAGGACCTGCGCGATGCTCTGCGGAGAGAGGAACCTTTCAGTAACTGGACTCCAAACCAGTCTCTTATATATATATATATATATATATATATATATATATATATATATATATATATATATATATATATATATATATATATATATATATATATATATATATATATATATATATATATATATATAATTGAAACGAAAATAGAAATAACCTAAAATCCTGAAATATTTAAATCACTGCGCAACAATCCGTGTCGTGCAGGCCTCAGTTTATGTATTTACATGCCGTTCCACCGGACGTACGCGTGAAATAAATCAATACTGCTCCCTCTACATGATCATAATAATAGCCTAATAACAATTAAAAAAAACACAATAATTCTCAGCCTGTTTTACGCATACAGTCAAATAAAACACCCACCAGGATTTGTTTTTTTTTTTTCCAAGCGCGATGACGGTGAGAATCCGCAGTCAGATCCACCTGTTACTCCGAGTCGCATCTGACAGCCCATCAGGCGCGCATGCGAGCGGCCGCGGGCTTTTATAGCGGGGCTGGGGCGAGCAGAGGCCGGGTCACCGGGACAACGCCGTTTCTGTCCCGGCGGCCTCCCCGCGACCAATCAGAGCCGGGCAGGCAGGAATGGGGGACGGAGGGGAGGGAGGGGTGAGGGGGGTGACGACAGAGTGCTTCAGCCTGATGTAATTACCAACACAGAGCCTCAGTAGTGAGTGAAATCTGACACACTCCTGGCAACACATGGCCCACTGCTGTTAAAATAATAATAATAATAATAATAATAATAATAATAATAATAATAATAATAATAATAATAATAATAATAATAATAATAAACTCGCAGAATAACAGCCATTAGCCTTTCATGGCTAGATTTGATTATTATTTATTATTATTATTATTATTATTATTATTTGACTAAATCATTAACTCAGACCCTCATGAAAAGCACTAAATTAAGAAAACTGGAAATAGCAATAGCAATTATTTGTGATGAAATTATATGCGAATTGAAATTGCTTGAATAATTAATATTTGCATTTCTTTTTAATTTTATCTCAAATGTAAACCAGTCTTTCATCAATTTGACTCCTGATCAAAACAGCTTTTTGTTGTTTCTATTGCAAGATTTTATCCATGCATTGTTTTCTAATCGACCAATCAACACCTCGTTTGATCGGAACAGCAGCATGACGCGCTGCTTTTCCGTTTATTGTTTGGCCGCCGCGGCAGCCCTGCTGTCGAGGAGCATCTTTAAACGTTAATTAATGAAGTGTGCAAAACTGTCTTTAACCGTTATGATCCGCGAGATTTCAATTAGTGGCGCTGTGTGTGCCTGTGTGGCAGTGTGGCCCTCGGCCGCTGCTGCAGGAGGGACTGAGGGAGCTCAGCCTGGCTCTGACTGACATAAGGGCCCCGGGCCCGCAGCTCCGCTCTCACACGCGCTAACTGGACCTGACAGCAGCTTTGTCCCGCAAATGCGGCAGGTATTGTGTAGTCGGCGCGATATGGCGCTAATTGCCTCGGCGAGTTTTACGCACGTGTTTTCAGAAACCTTCTCCTACATACATAGAAATAGAAGATGTGGTGCTTTATGCACCGTTTTCTCTCAGTTAGCAGACTGTCCGGAGTTTTGGCCCTATAAAGGCAGCGTTATTTGCAGTAGGGGTCGATATTAATTTAGTCTATCGAGACGATAACTCGACCAACACGTATTTAATTTATGGTTACCCGGGCCCATTAATCGGAAAGGTGAAAGGTGACCTGATGGCCTCCAGGCGTCAGCATTTCCAGGCGGACAGAGAAGCTGCGTCTCTTTCACAGTTTCAGAGCCCCGCCCACACCTGTTGCTGTCAGGCCTCCAACTGACATCAGATCGGCAGGGCAGCTACACATCACAGTCAACACGTCCAGGGCTTGTCCAAGTGAAATAGGAATCTTTCTGGAAAATAAATCAATAAATAAATCTTTGTAGAAATGGATTCAAAGCGTTTCAGTGGCCATGACTGGTCTGTAGGAGGCGATATAACCAGTCGCTAAATTACTGATGTAATCACTTGCAAATAAGTGCAAATAAATCATCCCAACACTAAGTGATGGGAAAGAGTTTATGTTTCATTTAGCATTTTTCAGACAGTGAAGAAAAGATTACATTTGTGTGAAATCATTTTCAGAACAACAATATTGACATTTTCATTGCCTCCACGGCTCTGATCATAATTGATGCTCATGATCTCAGTTTATCACAGGCTGGCTTTTGGTTGAACTTCAAACTGTTCACCCCACAAATTTTATCAAATAAATAGTAGTAAAAAAAAAATTATAAAAAAATGGTGAAGCCAAGGTTCGTTTTCTGACTCGCTCATTTGATCAACCAGGAAGCAGCGACTCTGCATACCCTTCACACTCAGTCAGGAGGGGGGGGAAATTTATTGATTGATCGATTTGAGTCGTGCATGAAACGGGACTCAGTCACACATGATAAATGATGCACAGGTAATATAAAAATTCACCAGTGCATATTTTACTCACATTTTTAACATTTTTTTAAATCCTCAATGCATTCAAAGGCAGGGGCGGATCTACAGGGGTGGCATGGGGGGCCAGTTTCCACCCCAGTTGAGGGCGTTGTCACCCCTGTTGCCACCCCAGCTGACGACAATGAATTCAACAAATAGTTACGGCAAATCGGAGCGTTCAGGCAAAAATGTTTTAATAATGACAATATAGACATCAAGCCCGACGGCATAATGTGACGGACCGGATGTTCTGTTTTGGCGTCTTTTCGTACTTATTGTGTGGGAGTGTTTGTTTCTGGTATTGATTCCCCTGAGAAGTTTGCACACAATCTCTGCTTCATTTTGCTTGTTGAGTTGTCTATCCGACACACAGATAGCAAGAAAACGCAGAACAGAAATGGTTTTGTCTAGTTTTGCTCTTCACCTGTTTGCCAGCTTCATTGCGGCGCGCTGCGGCCGCCGCAATCATTAAAAGTTGAACAAGCAACAAAAACTGGACTAAACACCTCCATTTGTAAAACGTGGCGATATTCATAACAGTGATCAAACTACGGCTCCTACAACATATTTAAAATAAAACGATTGACCAAAATAATAGAAATTTGCTCTTTCATGCGTCTTGACAGAACTAGCAGAAACCAAACTGTTTGTAGATTTTATGTATTTATGTGGCAAACATCAGTTTTCTCAGCTTTATTTTAAATTGCATTTAAGAAATATATCTGATAACAAACGATGGCACCACCAATATTTTCGTGACAGATTTCATCCTACATTGGAATAGAATGGTTTTCTGGACACAATTCATCACATTGCGACTCGTAGGTTTTACTGGATTGGACAGCGCCTATCAATCAACACTATAGTTAATTAGTTTTGATTGACCTAAAAGTAATTAACTATAGTGCTTTAAGAAATTATATTTAATTTTCAGTGCTACATGAAACTCATTTTGAAACAATATTTTGCAACACGTAAATGAAGTCCAATGATAGGTCTGCGTAAGCTAATGTGGGAATTTATACATTATATTATATATATATATATATATATATATATATATATATATATATATATATATTATATATTATATATATAATTTTTTAAACAATTTTTATTTATCTCTATAGATATTTTTCTAGATACGCCCCTGTTCAAAGGTCAAATTTGGAAGAATAAAACCAAAAATAAAACTCAAACTTCTGTTCATGAAGCTTTCAAGCAAACTAAAGATAGTCTCACTCTTTGTAAACATGAGTGCAAATGTGAAACTTTGTACTTGTTTTCCATGCAAGAAGTTCTTGGGAGCCCCCTACTGGCCTCTAGGTGCAAAGCAGCAGCTTGGCTCACTTATGCCTTGGTCTGACCTGTTGCTGCTTAAACGTGTGACATGTTTAAGTATAAATATGACTTCAGCATGAATAATTAGCATGTTGAGGCAGAGCAGAAGCCTCTACAGACTTTTGCTCCGGATGTGGAAGTTTCAATCCAAGCTTGCCTTAAAACTAAGCTGAAGAAAACAGTTTGAACTTGACTTTTTTATTTATTTATTTATTTTAATTTCCTATTTTCCTTCACCTTTGACTCTTTTCTCACTGCTGCCACCTCAGTCATTCGTCCCTGTCCATCAGTCTGGGTGGCAACGAGCCCGAAGAAGTGCTGAATACCAGAAGTGAGGAGGAGCATATGTGAGCCATACTTAATCCTGCTAATCTTCTTCCAGAATAAAAAAAGAAAGGGAACAAAAAAAAGAAAAAGAAGAAGAGGAGGGTGTAAAAACATGAGGGAAGGTTTCTTTTTCTGTCTGGAAAGCTGACCGGTTGAGCCAAATGAACTGAAAGACATGAATAACGTCCAGGCAGTCCCCCCGGGTCCTTTTCTGTGCAAGATCTTGGAACGAAATGAAGCAAAATTCTTGCTTTTGTTAAAGCGCTGCAGTGAAGAACGTGAGACGCCGCCTTCCACGAACACTACTGTTGCTGTTGTTTTTGTTGGGCCACTTTGTCTTCCTCCGAAATTCACATGCAGCACTCCAACTGTACACGTCATGTAAAGAGCCGCCAGAGGAAGAGGAGCGAAAAGTCTGAATGTTGATCGTGGGATCCAGGAGAGCAACTTGATATTCACATTTTAGCCAAATTAAACGTATTGTGGAGATATTGCCAGAGTTTCCATCTATAGAAAGTCTGTGCATTTTTTTGTGAAGGGTGGTAAATCAAAACATTTCAGAATTTTTGTGATTTTATGTCCTCAGAAGTGCTTTAAAGAAAAAAACTTAGAAAAATTTGTTATCTTTAGTATTTAGATAAGAATGAGAAATTATAGAAAAATACAGTATATGTTCAGAAGTTGAATAGTTTCTGGGAAAAATGATTTCTCATGTGAAACTTTTTACTTAATATAACAGAAAATACCAAGACATTTTATTGGGAATACTTATTGGCTCGTGTGAAAATGAAATACAAAGTGTAATTTTATGGCATTCAAGATGTTTTTGTTTGCAAAACCTCAAAAGAAAAAAAAAACACATTTCTTTCAGATTTTAGTTCATATGAGTTCAGCCAGGTTTATTTCGTGTACTGAAACATGCAACAGAACTGTTTGCTGCTTCCTGACGAATGCGACCTGTGCATGTGCAGGTGCACGGTTTGGGGAGACGTGCATTAGCCTAATTGAGGCAATAAAACCGCAATATATCCTCTTCACACAAGTGTCATTCCTAACGCTGTCGTTTCTCAGAGCTTTACCAGTAATACAAGTGATAGTGTCCAGAGACACGACTGTCAAATGGGAACAATTTGCATGCAAACCAGTGTGCTGACTGAAGAGAAACATTAAAACAATTCACACAGAGCCTCAGCATTAACATGAATGTGCTCCAAGCACAACCAAACTGTACGGTGAGGTGGTTCCAAAAGTTTTCAAAGTGGTGACCATATAGGGAGCATCGATATCTGTGGTGGGATGAAAGCAAAACCAAACGCTG